CTTAGCCTTAGCATTTGCTGATTTCTTTTGATCAGCCCCCTCATCATCAGCATTTGTAGTTTTATCCTTCATCCTGTTGGTCTTTTCTTTCTTTTTTCCGCCCTTGCCGGTCTCATACTCAGACTCGCTGGAAAGATCCACTTTCTTGACTGCCATGGCTGGCTTGTGTATGATGTTCAGATGAGTCCAAAAGTCCAAAGTCCGGAGTCCAAAGTAAATAATTCTGATTTGAAAATTGGCAAACATTGAGAAGATAAACAGCTAAACAGCCTGACACCTTGATAGTTGCTAGTTGCTAGGAGTTGATGTGACAGCTGACATGGACAGGACCCTCACTGCACAATTGCACCAGCAAAGGGAAGAATTGAATTCACTATTTAACATGAATGCACAGAAAAAACAAGCATTGCACATCATTGCACGAACACAGACTTGTTTTAGTGACTTGAATGGGCACGAAAAGAAACGTTCAGGTCATGTCCACAGGTTCCGAACGCCCGGCCCTCATCCCTGGATCAAAGAAAAAACAAACAGTCCTTGTGCAACAGCGGCAAATCCATGGTGTCTATGAAGTTGAGCACCGTCACTTGATACTCCTGCTTCGCCTGCCATGTTGCGTCAGTCTGGACAAACACCCTCAAACCAGCACCTCCACCCACACGCAACCTTTCCATGACCCAACGTCTCATGAGAAGTGTCCAAGCTACATCCAACCTGCCCCTGATCCTGGACACGGTGGATGAACTTGAGTAGTTTGAGTGGTGCATATTTACGAACTTTCAAAAGAATACCATTCTGCCGTTTGAAGCTCTCATCTGAAAACCGATCAGCCTGCAAAGCCTGAGCAGCTGACAGCAGACCGGTCAACAACTCTTCCTTAGCTTCGTGTGTGGGCGGCCGGCCGCGTGTGAACAACATCCCATGCACTGTTTGGAGAAGACGGAGCATGTGTTCCTTGCCCTTACTAGATGCTACGTTGTAGAGCGATGGATCCACGTGGCCACCCTCACAAGAAGCAACAATTTCAAATGAAGGGAGAAAAGCAAAGGAATCCCGGAGTGTTTTCAAAGTCCCGGAAGCATCTGCCTCCAAAATCCGCCGACCCCGGCCTATAGCCAAAGCCTAGGCGGGGAGGCGCCTGGGACACCGCAGGGTGAAGCAGTTGGCCAAGCCTAGCAGAACCCTTCAAGCACTTCCAAAGGCGCAGGATGCAGCAGTTGGCCAAGCCTAGCAGAACCCTTCCAAGCACTTCCAAAGGCCTGTCCGAGGCCTCACCAGCTGGCCGGCCTGTTGCGGCCTCTCTGTGGCCTGTCCGAAGCCTGCCTCCTCTCTTCTTATGGGCTTCCGAAGGCAACGTTAGGCATTTTGGACCGGCTTCAAACGCTCCCCAGAGCCTCACCGCAGCCTTGCCCTCTTCTCGGCAGGCTTCCGAAGGCGACGTTTAGGCATTTTGGACCGCCTTCAAAAGCTTTTCAGCCTCTTGCGGCCTCTCTGTGGCCTGTCCGAAGCTTCTCGGCAGCCGGCAGGCCTCTTGCGGCCTCTCTGTGGCCTGCCTCCTCTCTTCTTATGGGCTTCCGAAGGCAACGTTAGGCAT